TGTTGTTGTTGTTGTGATCATAAACTGTATGGATGTGATTACACGCAATACACGGAGCTTTTCCCTCACCATTGTAACGCGCTGCTTTTGCAAAGTTCCGTGAAAACCTTTCAGCTTTTATTTTCCTTTTTCGCCCTGAAGAAGATATCGCAGATTCCTCAAATTCGTCGAAATGATCCATCCTCGATCACTTTTAGTCAGCTTTGACGAAACTCCTCTTAGCTAGCACGTATTTTCAAAGTGAAAGTAGCCTTGTCACCTGACCTGAATACAGCACGCTGATTCGCTAAAATTGACTTTTCGGCTTCTGTTCAAAAACAACAAGGGGCGCTTGTCAGCTTCTGCAGTAAAACGTGAACTCGCGATGCCTTGAAAGTGGACAAAACCGACTTTTTTGACAAAACGTGTTTTAGGGTTCAGATCGCGCTATATGTGAGGCAATCAGCTCTTTTTTTTTTTTTAAAGTGGCGTTTATCGGTTTTTGCAAATGAACTCTTCACTTTAAGATTTTAAGCATACTTCAAGTGCACATTCAATACATTTAAGCATATTTCTTTTTCACAAGGTTAGAACCCTAGAAACAGTGCAAAACAGTTCTTTATTTTAAATGTATTGAAATCCTACAATGTGATGTAGTTTTAAAGGGGTCCTATTATGCTCTTTTACAAAGTCTTGATTATGTTTTGGGGGTGTACTAGAACATGCTCTCATGCTTGGTGATTCGAAAAACGCATTATTTTTCACATAATTTACATTATTAAAATACCTTTCTCCCCAGCCTGGCACAAACGGCTAAGCTACAGCACAGCAGCTCTTCTTCTTCGTTTTCTCTGATGCACTAACTCTGCAGCAGCACTTCTTCGTCGTCGTCTCGTCTGATGCACTCACTCAACCAAGCGTTCTAACCACAACCTCGCCCTTCCCCACCCCCAACCATTCGAATTTCTGTAGGCAGGAATTCTTTTTAATGATATTCTAATGGGCCGCTTTGTGATATCACAAAGCCCGGAAAACAAACGCTGTAGTCCAAACGAGCCGTTCGTTGTAGTTCTTGAAAAGGGATTTTTTAAAAATGAAATATCTCCCTTTGGAGTGGACTTTGAGATTTGTAACTTTCTAGATCTTTTTTATGCCCAAGCATACACACTACACACTGACTAAAATTTAAAAAGTGAAAAAGCATAATAGGACCCCTTTAAATTAGAAAGATTTGGATTTCAACATGGTCTCAGACATCTGAATCCCACTGTACTACTCAAGTAGGAGTATTTCATTGCTCAGAACAAGTTGTGAAACGTTCTGATGACATATTGCTCTCTTCAGGGTGAACATGGCCTACCTAGACCGTCTGGAAGCGGGTAGTTCAGGTAGGGTGCCTGAACCCATGACCCAAACCCCTGAAAGCACTAATGTCTGGCTGGATGATGACGACGATGATGACAAACCGCAGGATACAGCCTTATCCACAGTGCCCAACCCATCACAGCTCCACACAGACTGTGAAGAGGAGGATGGTGAGTCTTAAACAAGATTTATATGCATCTGCATGGCACTGTGTGTGTTTACGTCTGTTTCGTTTCACAGCACCTCTGGAAACCTCTCAAAGCCTCTGCTTGTGTGTGATATTAAACAGATCTCACACCCCCGGTGCCGGACAGCATAACACATTGTGTAAATAAAAATTTCCCGGCACGCCAGACACGTGATGCTCTTAGATGCCCCTGTATATTCAAACTGTCAGTGTTATGAGAGGTTAATGTCAATGAGTCAGTAAGAGACAAACTCATTAGCAGCGAGCTGCGTGGTTGATGTGTTTTTACTCTAGATTGTTTTGAGGTCCAAATTGCCTGCTGTAAAGTAAACTCATTTGGCCTGGGAGAAGCTTGAATTATTGGCATGCCTGTCTGACAACAGATTCATTAACAGTATGTCTGAAGCGACTGCTGAAACAAAAACATCGGTTAGCTCTTCCAGATCCAGTCTGGCTGCATTGTCATTACTTGGAAATGTGCCATTCTGTCTTCAGACTTGCCCTGCTGTAGTGTGGGTTAAAGAAATAGTTAATCCAAAAATGAAAATCAGTCAGTATTTACTTACCCTCATGTCGCTGTAAACCCGTATGCGGTTATTATTTCTGCAGAACACACAGGGAGAATCTTCATGCAGCTCTTTTCCATAAAAAGACATATAGCATGTCTGTATGTCAGTGCAAAAAGCATCATAAAAGCAATCCATATGATGTGTGTACTATATTTTAAGGCTTCCGAAGCCAAATCTTTGTGTGAGGAACAGACACAAGTCATTATTCACTCTCAAATCAAAGCAAACATGCAAAATATTTTCTAGCTGTCTAATTAAGTATACTCTGTACCTTTAGAGGTAGAGGTAGTTTTTATTGACATTTTTAATTATTTTATTTTTATATTTTCTTTTTTCATTTTAATTTTAAAGTTTTGGAAATTGTGTAGTTTTTTTTTTTTAAGTTTTTTAATATGTCCAATTGTTATTTATTATTATTTTTAGTTGTTTTAGTAAATTTAACTTTGTTTTAGTACAACGTAAACTAAAAAACAATGAAAAATGTTGGCAACTAGCTAAAATAAAAACAGAAAACAGTTTTAAGTTTTTATATTTTATTGCAGTTAATGTTATTTAATGTCAAGTAACACTTTTTTAAGTCGTTTTAGTTAAGTCTGCTCACTGGGGCAGTAAGACCTATTCACACCAAGATTCAGTTGAAAAATATTCTGTGCAATAAACAAAACTGGTCAACTAATAGGCTTTTCTAAAAGCGGTATCTACTGAGAATGAATCTGCATTTTCATTCAGCCCGTCTCCATTTTTTATGTACCTGTCCAAATTTTCATGCTAAACATTTTGTGTTGGGCCTTTAAAAGCCTTTTTACCCTATTTACCATTAAAAGGTTCATGTCTTAAAGGTATAACATGCTCATTTTAGAGGTATATAATGTGCAAAGTTACCCCTTCAATGGTACTGCCCCAGCGACAAGCTGTTGTATCCCTTTTTTGCAAATTTTTTTCCTAACAGTGGCAGATTTTGGACTTCAATACCATCATAAAGATGTAATTGGTTCTCATATGACCATATGATTTAAGTTGAGAGTTTTTAGTGCTTTTATAGTGTCCTTTTTGGAGTGTTAAATTAAAAAAAAAAAACGGCGTGAAGATTTAAAATGTCTTCATCTGTGTTCCACTGAAAAAAGTTTGGAACAACATAACAGTGAGTAAATAATGGCAGAGTTTACATTTCTCTTTTGATGTGATGGATTGATCATTTTAAAAATAAAAAAAAAAAAAAAAAAAAAAAAAAACAATCTCATACTGAATTTACTTCATATCCTGGAATGGAGAACTATGGCTTATTCTATTCTGACCAAAAGGCATGGAATTGTATGATTCACGCTTATTGCTTTAGCCTCCTTAGTGGGATTTGCAAATGACTTATGGTCCGATTCAGCCTGAATCTAGCTCCATGTGGAGATCTTCACCTTTTTTTATGCCAAGAGGTGTGGCTGTTACGGCCAGCTTTTCCATCTGTGTGTGTGGAGCTGCTGTGTGATGGTGTGGGACTAATGTGCCATTCACATTGAAACAGTCTGCATATCTTCTCAGATGCCTAATGACACATTATGTTTGTGTGTTCAGCATCACTTACGTCTGAATCACTGCAAGGACCAAAGGGTGTATGTATCCTCAGCTGAGGCTTGGGGTCAGCCAGGTCCTCCGATTCTCAAACTCACACCTCTGTCTCTGATTACCAGAAACATTAGATGTGTTTGTCTCTGGACCAAGAGAGTCTAAGAATGACCTCTCGTCTGGCTGCGGTTCGGCTTACTCACAGTAGATATAGGACCTGCCCTGGCTTATGATGCTTCAGTACATGAACACCATGATTAACAGGCTGAAGGATGAGATATTAGAAGCTTTCTATGTTTAAGGCAAGAAATTACAGTGGAATAGAGTAAACATTAACTAAAAGATATCATCATAGTTTCTCCATTTGGTCAATCACAGTAAATTAAGCCAATTGTTTTCTTTGAAATGTTTAGATAATTTTAGATACATTTAGATAATGCAATGAGGCATTATCTAATTTTGAGTGCAATTATTGCATATATTTTCATAACAGAAATCCGATGATTGGATAAAGCCAGGTTCAAAATCAGTGTTTCATTTTGTTGATATATTAAAGGGATAGTTCACCCAAAAATTATTAATTACTCACCCTCATGTCATTCCAAACTCGTAAGACTTCGTTCATCTTCGGAACACAAATTAAGATATTTTTGATGAAATCCGAGAGCTTTCTGACCCTGCATAGACAGCAAGGGTCCTACCACGGTCAAGGCACAGAAACGTAGTAAAGACATTGTTAAAATCAGTGGTTCAACCATAATTTTACGAAGCTACAAGAATACTTTTTTATAACAATTTTATTCAACGATTTCTTCTTTTCCACATCATCCTAGGCGCCATTATGGAGAGTACCATTAGTACCATTTTAACCCTTAAAAGCCAAAGCTGTTTACAGAGAGTATTTGGATACCTCTTTTTATTACTCCATAAATCAGAAAATACTGTCATCAGTCAGAAAAATACGTTTTCACAAAGTTTTTAGCCATTAAAGTGTAGTTCACTCAAAAATGAAAATTACCCCATGATTTACTCACCCTCATGCCATCGTATATGACTTTCTTCTTTCAGACAAAAACAATCAACAAGTTATATATAAAAAAATGTGCTGCCTCTTCCAAGCTTTAAAATGGCAGTGAATGGGGGTTGTAAGAAAAATATCAATATTTTCAACTTTATAAACTGTAATCTCTAGCTTCCGCTAACTGTCACACGTGCGTAAACGAGGAAGAGGCGTTCCAGCGGATGACGTAGGACACAGAAGCACAGAGGAGAAAGCGAATTAAACACCGGTCACAAATTAGAAGTACAAAATGAAGATTTGTAAATGTCGGAGGTAGGGCTGCACAATTCTAATCGCGATTACAATTATGGATGCCACAATTACGTAATCGTTCAAATCAGCAATTAATCGATCAAAGTCCACTTATGTTATTCTGTGTGCTTAAGATGCGTTTTTTTCTCTTTTTACATGTTATCTTAAGGGTTTTTCCCATTATTTTAATTTTAGTTTTAGATTATTATAGAACATTACAATACCACTCATATTTTTACTTTTTTATAATTTAAAGAAGAAACCAATCCGATGTATACTTGACATTTGAGGGTTAATACTATAGAAAAGCACTAAAATTTTTTCATTTAGAGTGTTTTCAGCTTGTTTATTTTCATATAAAAATACGGCATGCAGTTGTACCAAACAATGGTATATTCTGTATTCTCACCAGAGCTTATGCTACACATATATCCTACGTCATCCGCTGGAGTGCCCCTCTCTCGTGAACATGCATACGACAGTTAGTGGAAGTTAGAGATAACGGTTTATAAAGTTGTAAATATGGATATTTTTCTTACAAAAATGCATAGATTCACTTCAGAAGGCCTTTATTAACCCCACAGAGCCGTGTGGAGCACTTTTTATGATGGATTTATGCACTTTTATTGGACTTAAAAATCTTAAACCCCATTTACTGGCATTATAAAGCATGGAAGAGCCAGGAGATTGTTTAACATCACTCCAATTGTATTCGTCTGAAAGAAGAAAGTCATATACACCTAGGATGGCTTGAGGGAGAGCAAATCATGGGGTAATTTTTATTTTTGGGTGAACTATCCCTTAAAATGTCAAATATATATCATGCAAATGAAATCTGAACAAACCCCTTTATAAAAATCTTTAGAACATAGATGGGAATAAAACATGGAAAGAGCCATGTAAGTGCTACTGAAGTGGAGATTTATGGCTAGAAAATAAAAAAATATTTTGAGAAAATGGCCTTTAAAGATATGTATTGTAATTGAAATCTATTAATGCAAATAGATCAAGTCTAATAATAAATTATCAAATTTGTATTTTGGATTGGATTTGGATCTTTCCATTAGTTTGATGGAAGTCAAGATATGAAAGCGAAATCTCAAAATTGACCACTGCCTGTAGTGTCTAAAATGTCTTGCTATACCAGATTCAAGCTGTATATTCTTAAAGATGAAGTGAGTAATTTCTGCTCCACTAACATCACTGAATGTAACCACAAAAATAATGACTTCCATTTTCCGAATAACTCCACCCATAAATCAACCTATGAACGGATTACTTACAGTTGGTGCTACACATTAAACTATGATAAAAAAATACCCACTTCGCCTTCAATTATGTTCCTGAAGCTCAACTTCTAAAGCACAGCGCTAGCAACGTTGTTGGTTTCAGTCCCCAGAAATACATATAGTTTACCAATAAAGTGTATACCTTGATTGAACACTTATTCTGTCTGTTTGAATTATTGCCATGAGTATTCTGCTATCCTTTCACCACTTGCCTAATTGAATTTATTTTCTGTTGGATTTTATGTCCAATGACGGCCTTCCCATCTATCCTGCATTCCTGGGATCTGTGTGTATGGGACATCTGTCTGCCATAGTGCTAGTTTGGTCCATTAGTGTGTGGTTTAGTGTGGGATCAAGATGCCGTTGTTTGCGGAACAGGCTGGCAGAAGCACTGCGGTGGAGCCGTGTTCTCCCACCCTGTCTGTCCTGCTCCATGAACCAGATGAACCAGCAGGGAGGTCAGTCTTGCGCTGCAGCGCTGCATAGCTGCACATTATTAGAAGGATGTGTGTGAGAACTTCAGGATCTGAAGTCTAGGAACAAGTGACCATGGTTGCTTATAATTTTTTGGCAGCCTCGCGCTCGCATTTTGTGCATGTAAATGCTAACGTAGAGTGATTCAGCTATGGAGATATTAGTTAAACTACTGTACAGTAACAATTTGTTTGTTTGTTTGCTTTTTTCCTTATAGATTGTGGCCATATGTGGACCCTGATGAAACTCCAGAATAGGTTTCCATACTATGAGCGGGATATGCTTGAAGAGATCATCAAACAGTGCAATGGCAATTACCAGCAAGCATATGAGCTGCTTGATGTGTAAATACTTTCTCGTTTTGATCCTCAGTGATAGATTGATCCTAATATTGTTTTGTGAGTTAATAATCATTTTTGGGTGAACTACCCCTTTACTTAAAGGTATAGTTCACCCAAAAATGAAAATTTGATGTTTATCTGCTTACCCCCAGGGCATCCAAGATGTAGGTGACTTTGTTTCTTCAGTAGAACACATTTGATGATTTTTAAGTCCAACCGTTGCAGTCTATCAGTCATATAATGCATGGCAATGGTAACAAAGTCTATGAGTGTAAAAATAAACATGCACAGACAAATCCAAATTAAACCCTGCGGCTCGTGACGATAAATTGATGTCCTAACACACGAAACGATCGGTTTGTGTGAGAAACCAAACAGTATTTATATAATTTTTTACCTCTAATACACCACTATGTCCAACTGCTTTGAGCACACGCACGGCTTCCGGTGCGTGAGGTGTGTACGCGCTCTGGCGTAGTTTACGTTAATGGGGGTGTTGTCACGGGAGGAGCAAACGACAGACACAGTTTATTAACAGAAAATAAACAAAGTGTCCAGAAAAAAGGGAAGCAAGTGTCCAAAATAAACAGGGGATCTGGTGTCCTCGTCGTGCTGCGGGGTTCGTGCAGGGAAGGGCAGTGGTCAGGAAGGAAGGAAGGTAAGCAGATAAACATCAAATTTTCATTTTTGGGTGAACTATCCCTTTAAGGTGACGAGCTTAAACCAAACAATCTGGTGTCCTTTGAACTGAAACAAAACCTTCTTTTTTAGTTTGTGCAGTTATTTTTGCTCTGACACTAAATGGATTGACACTTAGTCACAGAGAAAAGAAATCAAAACAATAAATCAAGATTTGAGTCTGCTGTGGGAACATTTATGTATCCCATGAGTACAATTCACAGGCTAAATGATGTGCGTTCACTAAATTCAAAGGCTAATTTATAATGAGGTAAAGGACTGAACTCATCCACCATAGGGATGGACAGTGAAAAACCAAACCATCATACACATCATTAGCTTCCTGAATGCTGTATAGGTTTCTGCTAAAACTGCATGAATTTAAAAAGGCTGCCTCTATGTATGTGAAATAGAGTGCAACAGACGGGTTTGTAAAGTAAAAATCCCATCCATTTTCTCCATTGGGGAATTGTTTTTTATAATTTAACGATAACTTATAAACCGTTAACAGCTTTAACATGGGAGAGAGCTACAATCTCATGAAGCATTGTGAGTGATATAAAATAAAATGGAGAAATAAAAAACTATTAAAGATGTTTTTAATATATAGAAAAAATATTTTATGTTTATTGAAGATATGTATAAATATACACAAATATGTGAATAGGTTACGAATATATCATTGGCAGTGCTTCATGGGAGTGCTGAAGAGTTCTTTTATTCCTGATTCGCTTGCCACGATTCTCTGATTGAGACGTTTTTCAACAGGAATTATGCATTAAACACAATGATTTAAAATATAAATTGAAATAATAAAACTGATAGCATCAACAAAAGCTCATGCCAGTGCCACTGATTAACAACCTTGTACCTCACAGTAGGTCTCTCTTTAAGTACACAGTCTTACCTTTTTTTTGTAATGTGATCCACCTCTTAGCTGGATGATTTGGCTCATGGCTTAAATTTTCTTATTAAAGACTTTTTTTTTTAATTTGTATGGGAAAATGAGTGGGAAAAATACTTCTGGAACAAATGCGGCAGAAAAAGTAGGCAGGCACAGTTGCACTCTATTCAGCAGATTTAATCCTGAAGCAATGGAAGAGACATTTAATGGGTGCGTTGTCCTGAAAAAAAGATTTGAAGGTGTCCACATGCAGAAAAATAAAACAATAAAAAACGTTCCTGGATTTGTGTTGATGTGTTTAGAAAATTGCCTAAACTAACACAAAGTAAAATTCAGCATCTTAATTGATAAAGCCATTTTACAAATATGTATAAGAGAGACACAAATGGCACCAATTTTGGCGATGATGGAGAAAGAGCTGGTGTTTTTGACTCAAGGAGTTCAGGTTCAAGTGTGGCCAAAACATCAACTTGTACATCCCGCGGCACAGTTTTCTTGCTCTTCAAAGGTTTTTACCCTGCTTAACAAAATAATGCGGTTCATAGGCGGAGGGTGAACCAACTCCAGGGTAAGGCTAAAAGCAGCCAAATATATTAAACATCATAAACCCGTCTTTTTAGTCAAGAACCAGACATGGGTGTCATGTAGGCTAAAAAATGTCTAATGGGACTGAATTTGTATTTAACGTGATTACAATTTAATAAAACGTTAGAAATGGATAATTATATAACGTTTCCTTTCCACTGTTATTCAAACCGCGAATAAATTATATATAGAAAGTGACATTATCACTAACATTGATCTATCGCGAGTTTAAGCACTCTCAAAAAAATAAAACTATCATTATAATCACTGACGCTGTATACACTGTTAAATTAATCTCTTACTTACATTGTACGTACATCTGCGCTTTGATGTTTATGATGAGAGAATTCGCAAGAGTCCGGAATTCAGTCAAACGATGTCTCATCTGAACGTTTCTGATTGGCCATTGCATTCCTAAGCTCAACAGATATGTGCGTGATTGGTTAAAATGTGCAACACTGTAAAAATGCCTAAAATGAAATACGGTGCAACATGAGCAGATTTAATTTGTTTGTGCAGGGGCATTTTTGTCCAATTTAGTGGCATTTTTGCCCCAAGTCCCCCGTGGCCTTACACACGCTCCGCCTACTGTTTGAAGGCATTCGTTTACTGGATCTTTGGACTGAAAAGTTTACAGGAGTTTACCGGTTTAAAAAATTTGATCACAAAAACATGCTTCTTTTCCTTTTTAAGGTATTGTTTTCATTATAATGTAGTGATTGTAGTGATTAGTCAATAATTAAATATTATTTTATCACTCTTTGCGCCTCCCCCGACATGCAATCACGCCAATCACGCCCTCCACTTGCATTCACGTGATTTGTCGAGATGAGAGGCGGACGCGCAATCATCAGTCAAATTTAAAGGGAAGCCGGTGCATCCTGACCGCATCATTGTCTTTACTGGGTGCATTTAGGGAATATTGGCATTTATTTACATGTGATTTGATTAGCTAGTCATGGTGGACTGTCATGATTTTGGCTAATGCAGGACACTAATGAATGATGCACATCAGAGGGGATTTAGAAGTGGGTATACGCAAAGCCGACTGATAAAGAAGTGGGTATACGCCGTATACCTGCGTATACCCTCCACTACACCACTGGTTATAGGCTATGTTGTTTTTTTATTCTAATATAGCCCATGCAAAGGACATTTTCATAGCATTTCAGAAAGTTGTCATGGTAACAAATTGTGGTTTTTAAACAATTAATTCTTGACAAAGCAGCAGTTTTGGAGAGAATTTTTACAATTGATCATTTCTTACTTTTCTGACAACTTTTCCTTAGTTGGTCATGAGTTGGTTTAAGCTGGCCCTGAGCTGGTTTAAGCTGGTCTTGAGCTGGTTATAAGCCGGTTATGAGCTGGTCCTGAGCAGGAGCTAGATGCTTAGGACCAGCACATGACAAGCTTAAACCAGCTCAGGACCAGCTTAAACCAACTCATGACCAACTAAGGACTATCTTAAACCAGCTGCCATGCTTCAAAACATACCTAACCAGCATATGCTGTTTTTTTTCAACAGGGTGTCTGAACCTTTGCTGGGAAGGTAATGTTTAGACCCCTTGAAGCTTTAACTGAACACTCTTGAACTAGAGTATAATCTAAATCTGTGCACAACTGATGCAACCGGCCTTTGATGCAAAGCATAGCAGCCACATTTTGCTGAGTGACAGTGCAGCTGTTTAGCCAGTGTGTGTTTTAAAGGTACTTGTCATTTTGCATGAGGGCCTCAACAGAATTGTGTGTGATTGGTTAAAATGCGCAACACTGTAAAAACGCCTAAAATGAAATACGGTGCAACATGAGCAGATCTTAATTTAATGCCGCAATCGAAACTATTCATATTCACTTTGTTAGTAACAGACGTAATAGATTTAATTTGTTTGTGCAGGGGCATTTTTGTCCAATTTAGTGCCATTTTTGCCCCAAGTCCCCCGTGGCCAGCCATACACACGCTCCGCCTATAATGCGGTTGATTCTGTGTGAATCGTAATAATGTAGCTACCTTGTGTTTTTGTTGAACCGCGATCAATCGTGTTCCTGCACAGGAAAAGTTTCTCATGTAAATGTGTTCGCTGCATTAAACACGCCGTTTCCTGTGACAGCTTCCCTGTCTTTTGATGAGCGTATTTTTTTTGCAAGTGTGTTTTCCTGTGTGCGGGGTGGAGAGCTAGTTGTGGAAAGAGTGGTTCCCAAGGTAACCTAAACTTTAAAGGAAACTGTGTTTTTTCTGACACACGATACCAAGAAACATTTCCGAGAGGTGCTGTTCTGGGTCATTGAATCTAAGAGGGATCACGCTGCAACGTCATATCTCACAACTCTGATGGCCCACAAATCAGAACTGTCTGTAGGTCTACTAGATCCTGATTACCTCAGCAGCATTCAGGGGGATTTCCTGTGGGTGGTTCCCCATCTGAATTAGGTCACAACATTACCCATATCACCCAAGAATTCTGGGGGAAAAATAATAAAATCTACAGACAGCAATAAACCACAGCATACCCCCAGCAGATCTGGGGTCCATTATCCATTGGTGTAGAAAAGACAAATATATTGATTCTCTATGAAATTACCCCTTTTGACTGTTTTCCAAGCATTGTGAGGTTTCAGTTCAAGACTCACGTGAGTTGCCCTTTCACGCTCGTATTATTCCAAGGTCTTGTCTGAGAGAATGAGCCATGAAATGCAGCTCTGCTGTATAGAAAAATAAAACAGGTGAGATCGCACAAGCTTTCACCTCTACAAAAGATAGACTTTTATCTCTAGGGACTGCATCAGTTTTCCAGCTAGACCGTACTTGCAGGGTGTAACGTTTGCTTGTGTGCTAACTGAAATATTAGCCATCTTGTCTGTTGGACGGAGGATACTTCAGGACAGAAGAGGACCTCAAAGTGAACTAGGAAAACATGCCACTCGCAGGGCTGTAACATGTAGAGATCTCCACAGTCAACCACAACTGAGTCACAGTGCTTCCTGGGGAAAGTGGGCTCCACGAGACAGGCTATTGAGGCACGCCTTGGCTGCTGGCTTACAGCGCCGACAATCCTCGTTCGCTCTCACACGCGCAGACACAAACAAATAAATAAACTAGCTCCAGCACAACAATATTTACGTACGTTACAGCTCCACCGAGAATTGGGCGCCTTTGAAATATTTGCTCTAACTGCTATATATGGTATGATTAAGCATTGGGAAATCAAGCCAAAGAGTGATTCATTTTATGTGAGTGATGGAAGATAGGTTTGTAATACAAAGCACTGTGTAGTTGACAACGAATAGGCAGCCTGCTATTATACTGAAATGATTTATTATAGTGATAAAAATAATATATGGAACTGTTTGTGGTTTAGCTCCTTTTTCCCAAAAAAGTTGTTTGTCTGAAGCAGGAATACTCCCTAAACAAACAGGTTAAACCAGCCTCAAGTAAGGTAACAGGGTTGACAGTTTTATTGTCTAAATTTATATAATATGCATTGTGCTCAAGGTCATGATACTATATGAGGAATTCATTTAATGCTGACATTTCTGCAAATATCTACTTTTCAGTTATCAGTGGTTTGCTAAATTAAATCATGGTAACAGGGTTAACATTTTTTACAGACCGCTTGCTGTTGAGATAAATAATGTGTGAAAGATTGTCTCGACTAATAGTTATTTGTTGAAAGGATATAAATTGTATAAGCAACTGTTTGTGGTTTAGCTCTTTTTCCTCCTGAAAGTCATTAATCTGAGGCAGCAATACTCTCTAAAAACAGCCTAAAAGGCAACAGGGTTGACAGTTTCATGGTTTCACTTGCAGGGTCATGAAACTATAAGGAAAAATTATTCATGTAATGCTGATATTTCTATAAATATCCACTTTCTGATTATAAGTGTTTCTAAATAAAATCATGGTAACAGGATTGACATTTGTAACCTGCTGTTCTGTTAAATGGCCTGTGGAAATGTCGTGTCTACTTTGTTAGAAGGACACAAGTTGTATACTGTAAATGTGTGTTTGGTTTAGACCTGTTTTTTTTTTTTTACCCTAAGGTCTTTTTAGTGAAAAAGCAAAAAAGATGTATGTCAGCTAAGACCTTATTTCCCCAAAAGTCGTTCATCTGAAGTGGTAATACTCCCTAAACAAAAAAGGGACACAAACAAAGTTAAAAGTTAACAGGGTTAACAGTTTTATGGTTTGACATGACATACAGTAATATGCTTTTTGCTCAAGATCACGATACTTTAAGGAAATAGAATTTAATGTTGACATTTCTACAAATATACACTTTCTGATTATAAGTGATTCTAAATAAAATAATAGTAACAGGATTGTCGTTTGCAACCTGCTGTTCTGCTAAACGGCCTGTGGAAATGTCTTGTCTACTTGCTTGTTAGAAGGACACAAGCTGTATACCGTACATGTGTTTATGGTTTAGACCTGTTTGTTTCTTAACCCCAAGGTTGTTTTAGTGAAAATGCAAGAAAGATGTATATGTATATCAGCTAAGATCTTATTTCCCCATAAGTAATTCATCTGAAGTGAATCCCTAAATAAAACAGAGTCACAAATGTAAAAGTTAACATGGTTAACAGTTTCATGGTTTAACATGACAATATTCCTTTTGCTCAAGATCATGATACTTTAAGGAAATATAATTCAATCATGACAACTCTCGGAAGATTTTAGCATGGTGATGGATATGACAATGTTAACGTGTTTAGTCTTGGCAGAATAGATCTGCTCCGCTGCTGCTGTTGGTTATTGCTGTAGTTGAAGATTATTGCTGCTGCAAGCAAGTACAGGAACTTGCTACTGCCAATGCATATGGCGATACGGTGCCATGAGTATTTAAGACATACTGCTGCTGCACAAATAGCATATAAAATAACCCGTAGCAGATCTATACAGGTGGAGCTGGGGAAGGTGGAGTGTTTCAGAGAAACTCTGAAAGTGCCCTGCAGGAATCTCTAGTGAATGCTAGCCAGCCATATAAATGCAAGGCAGTAAGCTCATTGGCTGCATATGCACCATGAACCAATCAGCTGGTGCCAAGTCATTTAACTTGCTGAATATCATCAGTTATGTTAACAACCCGTCAGCCTGCGCCATCTAGAGTTTCATGACTGAACTACATATTTTAATGTTGACATTTCTACAAATGTCAACTTTTCAGTTATCAGTGGTTTACTAAATTAAATCATGGTAACAGGGTTGATATTTTATACAGACTTGTCTAGTTATTTGCTAAAATCACACATATAAAAGTGTTTTTGGTTTAGATTTTTTTTTCTCCAAAAGCAATTCATCTGAATATACTTTCTGCTGGAAAATGTATAAACCAGCCTATGACAGTTTTCTGGTCTTTGCTGGTTTAGCCGAAAGGGTAACTGGTCTCCCAGCCTGACAATTGCCCAACCCTCCCATAAAACCAAATGTCTAGCTCTTTTACTGCACTTTGTCAACAGCTATTTCAACTGTGTTTATTTTTACTCATGCTAAGGTAATTTAGAAAAACATCAGACAGAATGTCTTAAGACACGACTTAGAACTGCACAAAGTCTCCTGAGCTATGAAAGAGCAATCTCTGAGCAATAAAACTGCCATTTGTATTTGACGATGAAAACTATGGGAAACAGCATCAACGGTGATGATATGACAGATTATATCC